TGTCTTGGAGCCGGCTGGCATTGGCTCTGTCAGACACAGGGGAAGCTTCCAGCAGCTTCTCACAGAAGCCATCCTGTAGCCCCTCTGCTACCAAAACCTTGCCATGCAAGCAATACAGCAAGATACAGGTGTTGCCCGAGATCATGAAACTCTCAGTAAAGGGATTTTTTTACGTGAAGGATGACGTTCTGGCAGCAAAGTCAGTTGCAGAAGTCTTATTTAAGCTTTGGGCTAGGCTTGGCTCAAAACAGGCAGGGAAATTTTTCATCCTGCTGCAGATCAAGCATTTTGTCTGTCCATAAGTTCTTCATAAACATGTGAAACTTTCATCCCATCTTTTGGGAAAGAGGGTTTGTTGGAAGATGCTGTGGTTTCTTTTTTCTTCCAAATAAGTAATTCAGATGTTTCTCCTAACTGGGTGAAACACCTTTAGATGAAAACCTGTCCGCTCTGTGAGCCACCCGAAACTGTGAAGCAGTGATGAGCACCCTGACACAGCTTTTCTAAGACTTGTGAGCCTGAGCTTTATGGTAACATCTCTGCTCCCACACAGGTTACCCATGCCTTAGAGATGTGCCGCAAAACTCCCTTACCTTACCAGGTCGTTGAGGTCGCCTGCGCCCTCCGTGCCCAGGTGTGCCATGTGCTCATGTAGTTCCGTACACAAAGCGCCTGTGAACGTGTGCAGATTAGAAGGACCCATTTTTGCCTTCATCATGCTGTAGAGGTTACCGTGGTTCTGATAAAATGCTTCTGCAGGGACAGAAACTAAATACAAAGAGAAGCAGAAACGTTTTGGGAAGTAGATGAAGTAGATTTTCACTGAAAGATAGAGTGAAAATTTTTACACATAACTTGTGACTCTAATTTAAATGCCTTAGCCCTCATTTTCCTAGAGTGACATTCCCAGACATCTTCCTTCTAACCCTGTAAAGATTTTGGTGAGCCCTCTGCTTCTACCAGTCTGTGTAACATCTTCCTGCCTCACGAAGCTTCAGTGCCAGAATCAACAATCCAGAGATTTCCCCCCAGCTTCCATGTGGATGTAGAGAGATGTGCACGCACTCCACAAAACCAACTGACATGAAAAAGAAATTAACCCAAAAAACCCAGTTTGGGTCTTCATGCTGTAGTACATTGTCTCAGTCATACCAGGAGAGGCTGAGAGAGCTGGGACTGTGAAGCCTGGAGGAGAGAAGACTCAGGGGGATCTTATCAGTGTGGATAAATATCTGGTGGTGGGAGTAAAGAAGATGAGGCCAGGCTCTTCTCCGGGCAAGAGGCAATGGGCACAAATGGGAATACAGGAGATTCCACTGAGACATAGGAAAGTTTTTACTGTGAGGATGGTCAGACACAGGAAGAGGTTGCTCAGAGAGGCTGAGGAGTCTCCATCCTTGAAGATACTCAAAACCCAACTGGACACAGCCCTCAGCAACCTGCTGTCGCTGACGCTGCTCCGAGCAGGGGCGTGGACTAGGCAACCTCCTGCAGTGCCTTCCAGACACGGGGGTTCTGTGATTCTGTGACTCAGTCTCTCTGCCAACTTGCTTCTCTCTCATTTCACAGTCCAAAACTGGCAAACTGCTCAAAGAATTCAAAGCACGTGAGCTGGTGGAGCATGCCACTGCGGATGGGATGTATACCTCATCCCTTTCTAATCACTGTTGTACCAGAGGGTAACAACTAATTATTGCTACAAGCTGATTTTCAAATTAAATGATAGGACAACATATTATTGCTCCAAACCACGGACGGTGGAGTGTCGAGCCGCAGAAAAGGACCTGATCTCAAACTGAGGTTGCTTGATGATAAAAGCGATAACAGCCTCTGGTTCAGAAACCTTTGATCCCTTGAGACTGAATCCAAATCACTTAGCAGGCTTACAGTGCTGGATCTACATATAGGAATTTCATTTCACCTTCATTTCGTAGCATAGTCCTGGGTTAAGATAAGCACTTAAAGCATGATCAAAAAGCCAATGGGCTTTGGATTGGGCTTTAATGTTCCTGGGTAACTAGATTTGATTTCCATTAAAAGAGCTAGGTCTCATTTACCTGCATTCTTGACAGCTTGTTGTACTGCCTGTTCAAAATTTAAGTCTTTAGATTTAAAAAATGCTTCAGCTCCTTCTTCCTCAGTCACAAAAGTAAACCGTTTTCCCAGAGCGAATATTGTGAATACAGGCCCATGCTGGAACAAACAAAGATTTCAGGTTACTGTACTGTTAACGCGTTTGACGGGAGCCCCAACAGGACTTCAGTACTGCCGAGAGGTCAGGAGGGAGGACCTGGTCCTTCCTGCTCTCTGTACACCCTGGCTCAGAAGTGCGCAAAGATGAACATGAATCAGACCGAAATCTGTAGACTGACAGACCAGAAGGGAACATCACAGCGGCCTGCCTGACCTCCTGCAGCGTAGAAGAGGTTCCTTCTCTGACATGAACATTTTATATTTCAATTACATTGCAGTTCAAACAATACAACCTACCTGGATTCAAAGAACCCAAGTGATGGATTATCTACTGCACCCCTTAGCTGTCATAGCAAAGTACCCACGTTGTAAAAATCCAGAATCCTAGCTATTTCAGTCTACATTTTTTAACAGAAACTCCCCACTCCTGCATCGTTTTAATGTCTTTTTTTTTCCTTTTCTTTTCTAGTTTAATAGTTCTGCTAATACCAACAATTCTTTCTTGTACAGGTGTTTAAAGATTAATATCAAAATAGCTAACAAGCTTCGAGCAGAATAGATGGAGTTTGTTGAGACTTACATTCAGGGCAGGTTTTTGATGCCATAAATCATTCTTTCATTTTCCCTTAATCTAATACCCTAGAGCCCTCTCAAAACTTTCAGCAATACGTATTCACTTCTGGATTCCAACGTTATGAAAAAGATCACCGATACTTGTAGATACTCTAAACCAGCGAACAAATGTGCCGTATCTACTGGCTGTCAGATGTAGGCATAAAAAAAAAAAATCAGAATTAGGAAATGAAGCATCTTTAGCATCTTTTTCTTAGTCAAGGCAATTTCTGCTCATAGGCAAAAGCCTTGGAAATCAAACGCCCAGCATTTACATTTATATGCACACCACCTTCTTTTGGCAAAGTTATTAAATATACGGAAAGGTTTAGGGCTTTCGTGAAGTCTCTAGACACATCAAGAAACTTGATTTTCTTTTCCAGGTTACATTGCTGACAAGGGTGAGAAGAAGTTTTCTGTTGGAGTACTGAAAAGCCTTGAATCCACTTTGCTCACATGGTTTACGCCATTGACTTCAACCATTTCTTTTGTTGTCTGTGTCTGTATTGTAAAGCCGGCTTCATCAAAAGCTCTTTGAAGCCAAAGAAAAGATTCCTCTTGACATCAGTTGGATTTTGATTGTGTCCTTCAACTGTAAATTATTAAAGAAAGAATGACTGTTTAAACTCTCTGGGTGACAATAAATAAAATATTGTTTTAATAATAGCTAAATTGCTAAAGTTGCTTTTTTATGGATAACAGCATGTCCTCATCATCCGGCTGGATAAAAATCAGTGAATTTGTACTGTGTTTGTTTTTAAATCAGATTTTTTAAACTTTAAATTCACATTAAACTTAATGTACTTAGTACTTAAACTAATTTTAAAATAAAATTAAATTTGAACTAATAGTAACCTGCAATAACACTTAATTATTCAATTAAGGTCACACTCAATTAAAGATTGGAACACTTTATTTGAGATGATTATGTGTGAGCAAGTTGCCTAAGCTCCCATTATAGACAACAGAGATCGAGTCTATGCAGTCAGGGGGGCCTAAAACCCGATTCATCTGCCCACCTCTGTTTCTGAAGGGGAGCTGAACCGTCCTCAGACTCCGCTGACAGGACTGACTACGTGTCCACCAACCATCAGTAAAGCTTGGACGTCTTGCTTACCTGTAAACACCTACACAAACAATCTGGTTTTGAATCTCATCCAATTTCCTGCAATCTATTTAGAATAATTAAAATGAAACCAATATTAAACAAAATTGAAATAAAAAAGCTCCATGAAGGACCTCCAGAGCAAGTCAGCTTCACTGAACAGCACACTGACGGTGGATATTTGAAGACATATCTTACAGAAAGCAGGATTTTTTTCTCCAAACAGGAAATTACAAATATATATGATATCTGATAAATTAAAGGTAAAATTAAAATACTAAAAAAAGGTTTGAGGATCAAACTACTAATGGCAATCCCCATCCCCAGTAATAAAGACTTTTCCAAGCACGCCAGACGCAGGAAGTCTCCCAGTGTGTTGCTGAGCCTGACAAACGCTCAAAGTGTAAAGGAACCAAGTGGGGAAGCAACCTGAGTTTGCGATCACATCAGTTTAAGACAAGTCCCACCCTGGAGCCTTTCACTGGGAGTGACGGACCGAGACCTTGTTTCAAAGGAAGTATTAAGTCGAATAGACTTAAACAAGTGCTAGGTAAATCAGTGATAAAGACTTCAATTCAAAACTCTAGAGGGATTAAAATATGAACTTGCAGCACTACCCACTGTGATCTGTTAACTCACCCTCAGCAACAGGAGGATGGGACGGGCAAACGCGGTGCCTTTCTAGAGAGCTCCTGACGGAGGACCTGGGAAGCCTCAAAGAGTCATTCCAGTACTCAGCAAATTTTCACAAGCGTTATTAAAGACCAAGATTAGTAGTGGATATATAGGATGTACTGAAGAAGAGCCCAATACAGCTTTTAGGAAGACATAAGGATGTGTGGCCTTAAACATATTCCTCATTCATTCCTTAGAAAGAATTAAAAGTTTACTCATGATCTGGAGTCATTTGGCAGTCTAAACTATGAGGAGACCTAGAAACATCACAGAAGGCGGCGGCCTGGAAGAATCACATTCTGAAATGACACCAAGATCTATTATACAAGTACTAGTAATTAATTTAGAGCTCTCACCTTGCTGAGAAAGGACAGCAAACAACTAAAAGCATCCTGTGCCCACATCTTCAATTTAATGTGTATCTTTGCCCATTCCATCTCAGCAGGACAGACTGAGCTAGAAAAGGCAAAGGGCTGCACAGCACGCATGAATGGAAGTTTCAATAAAAGGAGACTAAATGAGACTTAGATCCCAGGAAAGGTGAAAAAAGAATAATTGTTCATAATTAATGTAAAAGCTACTGGGCACCTCTTAGAAGCTAGCTGGTTGAAAACCAGAGAGAATACTTTCTTCATATGGTTCACGGTTAAATTATGGATTCATTGCTGTGAAGCCAAAGTTATCCACAGGGTAACAAAAGAGATTAGGTTATCACAGTCAGATCACCTGGATGCAAATTCCAGCCTAGGAAGTCCCTAAACTGTCAATGACCAGAAGCTGGGAAGGAAAAGCAGAAGGCGGCTCCTTACACCCGTTACTGAGCACCTACTAATAGCTGCTGTTTGAGACAGACATCTGAATAAACAGATTTTTCATCTGTCCCCATATAATGATGCTGATGTTCTAATGTAATACAATCAGCTGCTGGAACAAGCTGTCAAACAGTTCTGCATTTACCATCGTTGTGTTATGGGCGGGTACCAACGAAGTGTGGGCACTGCCTGCCAACACTGCACCCCAGTTTACTGCTCTGTCTGAAACAGTGTTTAAGGACGCCTGATGACATTCAGAGATACAGAAAGCAAAATAAAAACCCTCTTAGGATTTAGGGCCTATGAAGCTGCTTTCATTCATGAAAGTTCTGGTTTTTCCCCCAAGACTGTGAAACACTGCACAAAACAGCAGTGCCATGATCACAGGCAGATCTGAGCCTACATGAAAGTAACACTCCAGAGAAAGAAAAACTTCAGAAAGGTGTTCCCCAAAATCCCAAAGGACAGAAACCAGGGAAACTGCCATTTTTCCCAGGGGCGCTGCCAGGCAGGGAGCAACCGCTCTCGGCTGAGACAGCTGCAGTGGTGTCAAGACTCACGTTGGGAGCTGGGTGCACTGGGCTGGTTTTCTCTCCCTTGGCATGCACACACGCACAAGTTCAATGCCACGTCCTCTCTCTATCTCAGGGACTTTGGCATTTTGGTCTTCTGTGCATGGGACCAGGGTCACAGACCATTAGCGACTCAGCTGTGGACACTGTCTTCAGAAATGCTCTACCAGAAGCCTTGTCCTCTTCTCCAGCCTGTTTCCCCTCCATCAAACCTCATGCAGGATGCATGTCCCTTGCCACGTAAGCCAGCGAGCCACCCCTCATGCAGCCGCTTACGGAGAATAAGGCTGAGAGGCATCTTGCCAAGTTCCAAGACATGGCACCACGTCCCAAATGCAATCAACACGCTGAGGGTGATGCATGGATCCACAGGTCCAACAGTGCCCAACAATCTCCTGGGTTTAACTGAGCTTTTCTTGCTAGCTTAATTAGCAAACTGATGAGAAGCATCTGAACTTCCTTATTAACTCTTGTCACATTTGCCAGGCAAAGTGGGGACCACATCCTTTGAGCCCCTCATTAAGCAGCTCTACCTCTATTTTATGTTGCATGGTGGCTCTGGTTGCCCACCCTGCCCATCCCAGACCGCCTGCAAAACTGCTTTAACTAGCCAGGCAGCTTTAGGAGGAAGAGGTGGTATCTTTTATTAGACCAGAGATTAAATATTTTATTAGAGCAGGGGATCTTTCTTTTCTTAGACCCACTGATGACACAAGGGGAAAACCAGACAATTCTTCCAGCCCACGTCTTCTTCTGTAGGAGGAAAACAGAAGCAGCCAACTTCAAGCAAAGCGCAGGCTGGAAACAGCGGAATTCTGGTGTTATTCCAGGGCTTGAGAGAAAAAACAGTGAGGGATATACACAAAAGGGACAATAATAAGAAAGCTAACTCTTTAAGAAAGAAAAACAAATGAGTGTCACTTTGACAGACTGAAGGATTAATCCAGGGAAGGAATTTTCTAATTGCGAAAGCCTCCCCTGAAGGTAATGACCCTACGGAGCTGAAGAGGTTTCACACTGCCTAGAGCCTGTTTCTGCACTAACTTTTACAAGGGCAGCTTGCTCGTACTAGGGACACTTAACCCTGTTCTGGCAATATTAAGGAGCTGAGAATTATTGCAGATGTATTTTGCAGCACCTGTTTTATTTGGCTGTACCATGCTACAGTGCCTACTCCATTAAAAGGGAGCAGGCAGGAAAAGGCTTATCTTGCCTGGCCTCAGCACATGGAGCTGGTGTGGGAGGTGGGAAGGGAGGGGACGTGCCTGGGGTGTTTGAGGAGAGGAAGGGGAGAGCAGGGGCAGGGAAACTGCCGGATGGTGGGATGCTGGTGCTGCAGGCAGCCAGCCTGGGGGTGATGGACAGAAAGGTCCCTCTTGGCCCCTGGGGACTGCAGGGAGAGGTCACAAGGAAGCTGAGTTGCTGGACTCAGAAAAAAGTCACAGGAAAGGTCCTATCTGCAAACACACCATAAAGGCGAGATATGTAAGAAAGCCTTCCCTTTCTGCTTTGCCTTATTTTGAGTTTTCTCCCATTGAAAATGCATCGTTCTAGTTTCTGTCCCAACAAAACCTGGGGTTTATAAAGTCCTCCAGGTGCTTCTGGTGTGTTCAGATGTGTCAGCAGCTGCCATAGCACCAACAGCGGCCTAAAGGGTCTCCAGGCAAATGAACATCAAAATCAATGGACCCAGAGCCACTAAGTTTGAATTTGTACTTCAATACATTCTTTAGTACGCAAAAAGTTTTGCTCATTCAATCTGTGAATGAAACCCCAAAAAGGACTCTTCTGTCAGGGTTGTTTTAGAATTTCGCCTAAGAGATTTTGCTGAAAGCTTCCTGGGAAAAAAGGCAACTAAAGCAAGCTTAAGTCATGGTGAGACATCTGTCCCCAAAAGGGACTGCACTGGAAAGGACAGTTTGGCAGGCTGCTTTAATTGGGTTGCCCCCAGGATATGTTTTCAATAGAACAAGGAACTTCTCTAACAGCCTTGTATCAGAGGAGTCAAAGAAATATTATGATTGGTTTTTTTTAAGGGAGGCTTGATCAGTTTATTTAAAGGATTATATGGCATGTTTTCCAAAATAGTAGGAGAACGGACTGGAATGAGTTTCCTTCTTTCTGCCCTAAGATGAATGAACAAATGACCCATCATGGTATGCACAGATGAAAGATAAAGGAAAGACAGAGTAATATAAGGTTAAAACCCACCTGTTAAGCTCAAAGAAGCCAAAGAACTCCAGATCATACACATGAGCTTACTCCATGGTGCACCCCATGTGGTTTAATGCAAGACCGACAGCTCTCGATGTTCCTGCACCTCACACTTCAGCTGATTATACTTGAACCTCTGCTTTCATTTAACACCACGAGTTTATAACCACCATGGCTGCGAATAAGTACTTACAAATATGAAATCTAATAGTTCAAAATGAGAAAATAAATCTTAAACATCCAGTATTTATTAATATTTTTTTTTCAAATTTCAGGATGTTACAGTGGTTTCATTTTTAGCTAGTTTTTGCAAGTAGTGGGCTGTGCGATCCTTCAGTATCGAACACTTGGGGCTGACTATATGGCAGTAGCAGGTGCTATCATCACTGAATGAAAACAGGAAACTGGGTTTTATGTCAGTTACTATTAGCTGCCTAGAAATTAAGCATCTAATCTAAATTAATCATTTCGAGTCTCTCTATCAGACAGAAAGAAAGGCATGTCCACGGGGTAAATCTTCACACCCGTCTTTGGTAAGTTTTTTAGGACGGAAAAAGTTGCCTGCCGAGCATGCCTGCGTCTCTCTTGAATGCTGAGGGACACCAGCTGGTACTCAGAAATCCAACCTAACTTTAGGCATGCAAATAATTAGTCTCCTAGTCCCAGCGCCTGGCACAGGGCTTTCCACATTATCTGAAACCAAGATTAACACGTAGCCAGACTGCAAAAGCAAAACAGCAGAGGTGCTGGGTCCAAACAGGATGATCACAGCACGGAGATCATGCTTGGATCGGCTCCACAACTTAGATTGTGTTACTGGTAGAAAGCCGGTCCTTCACGAGCTAAATGCCCCTGATGTTATAAAACGTGACAGGAAAGGGGCAAACTTAATGCAGAAGTTTCTCCTTGCCTTTCCCCTTGCAGGCAGCCACCCTGAGCACGCACCCACGAGCAGGCACACTGCCACAGCCGTTACCTTGCTCCTAGCTTGCTCTATAAACTCCAGAGGAGCTTTCCCAAACTGAAACGCAGCTCCAAACCAAGGGATCCAGCTCCTGATGCAAGGAGGGGAGCTCGGGTTTCTCAGCTGAAACAAAACAGCCTTGACAATAAGAAGTCCCAGGATTGCTGCCAAGAGGACAGCAAGAGCCATTTTGCCTCTTCGCTGCCTGCCGCAGCAGCTGCTCCGCCTGCTGCAGCACCCTGCGTGGCCGCGCTGGCCGGGATTACCCGAGTCAATGAATAGGGCCTCTTTTCCCAGCCTTGCCAGCTGATCACTGCCATGGAGACAAGATGTCAAAGCACCAAGCAGCCCAGGGGACAAGCCCTTGTTTTGGAAAAGGCAGAGCCAATTCTCCTCTGCTCTGGGACGAGGACCAACTCCACCGCTTGCAAAACTTAGATGTTACTGTGACAAATCCTTGAACTTTGCACCAGCTGCTGGAAGGCTACCCAAGCAGCCAGGGACACAGCCAGGGACACTGTGGCAAAGCAGTGCGTCGCTTTCTTCAGATAAAAAAATTATTTTTTGGCAATATGAAGATTACAAAGCAGAGAGGCTGTGATTTGCAGGCACTGAGCTTTCAGCAAGGCAGATGGCAAGAAACTTCTGCAGGCATCACCTGAAATAGTAAGCCTTATGAAAGGTATCTCTCACCTGTCTGAGATCATCTCATTAAAGGCCAGTGTCTGAGGAGAAGAGAAAGGCTTCGGAGGTTGAACTGACAATTCAAAACCTGCTGGTGGCCCCTATAGTATCACTACAATGTCAGAAAACAAGATTTCTTGGCAAAAAAGTGACTTCATGAAGTTCAGCAAAGGGAAATGCCAAGTCCTGCCCCTGGGTAGGAACAACCCCATGTACCAGTACAGGCTGTGGGTCACCTGAGTGGAAAGCAGCTGTGAATGCCATGTTGAACACGAGTCAGAAATGCGCATTTGCACTCGATAGCACCCTGGGCTGCATTAGCAAGAGCGTTGCCAGCAGGACAAGGGAGGTGATCCTCCCCCTCTGCTCAGTGCTGGAGAGATCCATTCGGAGCGCTGGGTCCGGTTCTAGGCTTCCCACTGCAAGAGAGACATGGACAGACTGGAGTGAGCCCAGTGAAGTGCCAGAAAGTTCACAAATGGGCTGGAGCATTTGTCATTTGAGGAGAGGCTGAAAGAGCTGGGACAGTTCAGCCTGGAGAAGAGAAGGCTCAGGGGGATCTTATCAGTGTGTATGTACACCTGAAGGGAGGGTGCAAAGAGGATGGAGCCAGGGTCTTTTCAGTGGTGCACAGTGAAAGGGCAAGAGGTAGTGGGCACAAACAAATACAGAAAATTCCACTTAAACTTTTTTTTTTTTTTTATCATGATGGTGGTCAGACACTGGAACAGGTTGCCCAGAGAGGCTGGGGAGTCCTGGGAGACATTCAAAACCCAGCTGGACACAGTCCTGAGAGCCTGCTCTAGGCAACCCTGGCTTTGAGCAGGGTGTTGGACTAGCCAGTCTCCAGCTCCCCTCCAACCTTAACTGGTTTTTTTTTTGTGATTTTGTCTTCTTTTGCTCTGGCTCTTTGTCCAAATCTCTTCTTCTGCTCAGTCCCAGGACCTGATCCTCAGGCCCAAACTCCTTGGTTGAACAAGCCCTGCTCAGCCTTTCTAGCTCTTCATCTGTTTGTTCCATAGACAAGCATCCAGCTCTACATCACATCTTACACTTCTCCCTTTTCTCAGATACTACCTTCACACATGCATCTCCTCTTTAATCAGTCTCAGCCTTTCTGGCTCTGCCCCCAAAACCGTTTCCCCATGTCCTTCCTCCTGAGCCCTACTTAGTTCTGTCCCATTCTCTTTGTATCTGTGCTCCCAAATCTCACCAGCATAAAACCACGCTGGTGCCTGAGTAAGAGACAGACCTGGACTGTGCTCGAACTTGTCCTCATGTATATTTTTATGATATTTCAATAGTTACTAACCCAGATGCCTTATCCACTTCCCAGCCTTATGTATTTTACTAGGAGAAGAATATAGTTCATTGCTACTATATTTTGTAACGCCGTACCATGGGAACACCACCCTGTTTGTATGGGGTACAATTTGTGCACCGTTTTGCATGAACATGATTATTCCATTGAAAGTGCATTGTACAAATACAGTTTAACTCCCTTCCTTTACGGAAGTAGGTGTACAGACAGGAACCTTTGTACCTGTGCAGGCAGTACAGTAAAAGTAGCACAGCAGAAATACACCTGATAGTAGGAGGTTAAAAGTTGTGAAAAACAGATCTACGGCCTTCATTAAACAGTCATGCTGAAATACATTGGGGTGTTACCTACGTCAGTCATAGGTGCAGAAGAACAAGCCCAAACGTGTCAACTGTGACAAGCAGGATGTGGATCTTCATTTCGCAAACTGTCTGGAAGAAACAGATAAATCACTTTTAACTCTGATATTACTACACTTCTATGTTTTGCTATCACAGCTCTTTGTATGTTTATTTCCTGGTTTTATTTTATGCATTAAATTCTTTCTTTTCCTACAAAGGGGTAAAGTGATAAGAGAGCGAAAGGCCTTGTAACGTTGGAGTATATTTTCATTATACGCACAGCCTGAGTAGCCCGTTTAAGGTGATCTGTGTATACAGGTAAGACAAGCCCTCAACCCTCTGTGAAGACATTCATTACAGGCTTTTGTGTTTGTTTTGGACTTTTGTTTTTGTTTAGCTGTTGCTTCTGGGGCACGATTTGGTGAGGGACACGAGACTGAAAGGCACTATTGTGAGGAGGACACAACCAGTACGATGGTGTGATAGTCACTAACAAGCTTTCCTCAGACTAGGTCCTAGTCCAGGGCAGATAATAGTTAATGGCCTTTCCAATGTAAACTAACGCAGTCAGCACTGATGGAAGCAGGTGAGAGGAGCGGGGCAGCCTGGCTGCCTTTCTGCAGCAGCATACTGCCCTCCCAGACCCTGCTGCTGTGTCTCCATCGCATCTGAAGTCCATGTTCCCCCCCTGCCTATGCAGCGTTTGATCAAACTGTCATTGGCTTTGGACACAAACCAGAAAATGCTGTCTCACTGAGAACTGAAATAAATAAATAGGAAGGGTCCTCTCTGCTGGAGCTGTCTCCCTCAGGATTTGGGGATATATAAACTCCAGCTGTGACCTCCATGAGCACTGGCCCTTCTCTGCTCCACAAATCACAGAGTTGTCCACGCAAGCGTCTGCCTCCAGGTCAGGCTCACTTCAAAGATCCTGTGGGAAGAGAAAATTCTTCCTCACCGCCAACCCCAAATCAGTCTGGTTTAAAAAAGAACTTAGTTCGTCAGACTAAAAATGACCATGGGGAGCTGCTCTCTCCATAGGATGCCCCAATGTTATGGGATTTATTTTAAAGAGGGATCTAGTTGTTGGTTTCTGCCCCTTAAAGCATGGTTATAGAGAAGACAGAATGAGACTGTCCCCAGAGGTGTACATCTAAGGGATGAGAGGCACCGGGCATAAGATGCAACGTGGGAAATTCTGACTGAATATAAGGAAAAAATGTTCACAAAGTGGTTAAGCACCAGAGCAGGCTGTGGTTGTGAAAACCCCATCCGCAGAAGTGACCCAAACAAGACCCTGGGCAACCTGATGTAAGTCTGAAGCTATCCCTGCTCTGAGCAGAGGATTCTACCAGATGACCTCTAGGGGTCCTCTCCAACCTAAATTACGAAACGATGATATACAGGCTGATACATAATGGCACAAGCTGACCCAAGCCCAGAGAATAGCTACAGAGGGAGGCACAAAAATGCCAACAGCAGATTGCATAAACTGCCTAGAGCAGGGCTCTGAACCACTCACACCCTCAGTGCAGCTACGCACGTTTACATTAAGTTGCATTATGCCTTCTTCCCATTTTTGTCAGGGTTTTGTCAGCAGTTTGTTTTATCACTGCATGAATTCTAATGAATTCTAACCCAAAGAAGGATCCAATTTAATACCGATTACTGGTGACCGACGAGATAAATTCATCTGCCTTCAGCTGAATATTTCACCTGCAATGCTCCCTTCATTTGTCTGAATCGTTGTGACCAGGACTGCACACCAAAATGTTAGGCAGTCAGACAGGGGTGTGGGGAGGTGTTCTGGGATAAGTTTTTGTGACCTAAAAAATTCTCAGATCCTCAGCATGAGGATTAGTGATTAATGGCTAATGATTAACTTAGCGATTCAGCTGAGCCTTAATGATAAATGAAAAGCTTCTTTTGAACAGCGTATGCCTTACTCTTTTCTTCATGATGAGAACCTAAATATGCCTACATTAATTTAAGAGAAATTAGGACTGGCACACAATTAACACAGCTTCAGCATTCAGCCAGCAAAAGCTTTAAACTTTTCACATACGGGGCTTTGGGCAGAGATCGGCTTCTGTCTTCCCAGGTTTGCGTGCCCCTTGCTCGAACTGCAGTGCTCTGTGCCTAATCCCCAGCAGACGTGAATTGCTACAAGCACTCCAGCACTCCAGCTCAGCATGTGGCTGTTGCTAACGCAGCTTTCGTTAAACCAGGATCTGGACCGATTCATCCATCCCGGATGCCTGTGCAGCTGTTTGACACGGGGACGCAGTCTGGGGTTCCCGAGGCACTGCCGTCAATGGCAGCACCCCATAAAGCAAACAGACCCCACATACGTTCTCATAATCTTGAGGTCTCATTAATAATATATTTTTTTAATGTAGATAATGGGCAAAATTGTGCGTGTGACTGTACCTGCACCACCGGTTTCCTGGCAGAGGGTAGCGTTGGTGACAGACTACATTTCCCAGGAGCCTGTTGCACAGGAGCCTCTTGTGTCACTGCATAAGGACCTCGCAGCGCTGCAGGAGGCACTTGGGCTGCTGCAGTTCCTGGTGCTGGCGCTCGAGAAACATGACCTTCAGCAATTTGGCTCCTCAGCAACCCAGAACAGAGCTGAGATAGGGTCTGCTTTTGCTCCAGACCCTCGCAGGGCAGCTGGTTAGCCTTGTTTCATGTTAGACGCTAGATGTCACCTGCGGAAGAAGAGAAGAGCTTACCTCTTCCAGAGAGATGGCCCCGAGCCAGCAAATTCGCTCTGTCAGCCTGTGCAGCGGCTGTGGCAGAACTAGGTACAACTCACTGTGATTTTCTGAGAGGCGAGGGGGTCAAAATTTACTTATGGAGGGCAGGGGGAACTTCAGTCCCCGGACACCTCGTTCCTCGGTGTTCGCTCCGGCTTTTCTGCTCCTGCAAATCTGTTCGTTCCACTCTGCTCGTCGTGACTTTTCAATAATTTAAGCCTTGCAAGTGTTTTATGCCACTTGAATGTGGCTGGAGGGAGGGGTTTTTCAGGTTGAAATCTTTGCCTCTGAGACCGAAGGGCTGCAGTCATTAACACAGAGCAGTTCTGCCTAATTTAAGCTTTGCGCTTGCTGGGTTTCTGGAAGAAGACTAAAGAGGCAAGACGATCTGCTGCCTAAGTTAGTAGCAAGGGGCTGACTTCTACAGGAATTTGCTTTCCATAGTTAATACAGGTTAATTAAAAAAAAAATCGAATCTTACGTCTCTGGTTACAGTGGAGATGACTGTAAAAATGGAGTATAGTAAACTGCTTGCTGAAATGCGAGAAAGCAGCACCCTGGCATCTGCGTAGCACTACTTTGTGATCAGTAACTTATTTGGAATATTTCTTAGGATATTCTATATAATTTCTATAAGCTCTTACAGGCAAATCTGTTGCATTGCTCTAATGATTTGTAACTTCACAATCTTTGCTAATCTTTAAATGTGAATACCAAACTTAATGCACAAATAGACTGTAAATCTGACATCGAGTTGGACCGCTTTCCCTGGCCACCAGTTATTCAGTGAGAGAAATAACAGGCTAAACATTTTTTGTGCCTGCATCAGAAAAGCAGCATGTTTTAGGGTGGTTCGTAGGATAGGTGCTCACCTGCGTGTGTGTCTGCAAGACGATGGTCACTGTGGGGTTCTTCCTGACTGTAACGTGTGCTGCCACTATGCTGGGCAGAACTGGAGAGGCCACATGTTCAATAAGAGATTTGACTCTTCTTTATTCAGGGGGAGTAACTGGAACAGGATTTTTAATCCAGAGTCTCTCGGAAAGTACTCGTATTGCATAACAAATCTGCAAAAAGAAATAAGGGAGAAAGACTTGGTGTTTGACGGGAATGTATTTTGGTTACTCATGCCCAGAGCCACTTTTAACAGATCTGGACATGAATCTCCTCTTCTCCACGAATCGCCTGCACCCTGCCTGGGTACGGTCCCTGCTGCCTGCTGGTGCTTGCACAGCCCCCTTGGCCGCCTGGCAGCGGGGATTGTGGTGCAGGTGTTACCAGCGCGGTAGGTCTCCCCGCAGCTGCACCCGTAGTCACGTTTGTTCCCTGCTCTTTCTCTTCAGTGACATTTCCCCTGGATCTCACAAAAACTCGACTGCAGGTCCAAGGTGAAGCTGCTGTTCATCGCAATGGAGCTGCCGCCAGCCAGGCGGTCCCTTACCGTGGCATGCTGCGCACCGCGGCTGGCATCGTGCAAGAGGAGGGCTTACTAAAGCTGTGGCAAGGAGCCACGCCAGCCGTCTACCGCCACATAGGTGATTATCTGCTCATGATCTGACAAGTTTTGTTCCTGCTTTCTGTGGCCAACAGCCTTTTGGAGTGAGCTTGCCATATCTTGTTGTACTTTAAATATATCTGTGAGGACTTCTTCAGCTTACCCCGCAATCCCACTTTGAAATATACGGGATTCTGGTTCAACCCCTTCTCTTCCCTCTCTTGTCCATTCCTTCACAGCCTTATTCTGTCTTCTGGGAAAACAAAATATAATCTCCCTGGGGTCTTTGCAGGAAGGTCTTCAGTGCAAGCAAGCACTCAGAGTCCTCAGAACAATAAGTATCTTTTATTTGAGGGAAGTGGGGATGGCGTGGGAAAAAAAGATAAGGTTGCAAGCACTAGGATGAAGAAATGCATTAGTGGTTTGGCCACAGGTAACAGCCTTCTGTGTTTTATTTGGAAATATGGTGACAGCAACAAACCTCAAAAGCACTTGTGGGAGGTTTTGTGCTTGGCACCAGCTGAGAGGGAAGCAATGCGGTCGCGTCTCCTTAGCGTGTGGGCATAAGTCGTGCTGCCTCCTGGCAGACATATCGCTCAGCCAGAGAGATTCTCTGGTGCTAAGAAGTTCTGGCTCTGACATTCCTACCAGGCAGCCCCCTTGCTTTCCCCGTTTCCCAGCAGTGACCAGCTGACCCAGGCAAGCTCCGGAGTGTTTTACAACCAATCTCTTGACCTCTCTATCACAGTGTGACCTTCAGAAATGGCAGACCCAAGAATCGTCTCCTGCTTTTGTTTTCCACAGTGTACTCTGGCGTTCGGATGGTTGCGTACGAACATATCCGTGAGTCCGTGCTTGGCAGGTCTGAGGATAAAAGCTTTCCTTTCTGGTAATGTTGCATATTTATGCTTTTCCCTGTTTCGGGTTTGTCCTTACTGTAGGAGTCCTGCAGCCCTAAAAGCTGTCTTTTCCTCGCAGCTTGCCGACCCTAAAAAGGGTAAATATAAAGTAAGGGTGTAAGCACTGATACGGACTTTCTGATTTTAGTTTCGGGGCAGTATCTTTTCATTCAGCTGGGAACAGGACTAAGAAATATTGAAATAAGTTTCTCAGAGGCTTAACTAGGACCATGATTACTCTAATAAGGATACTCTCCTAAAGAGATGGAGAAACATGATAAAACCCATCGATAGGAGCAGCTGTCCTGGGCTGGCAGGAATCAGCCTGGATGAGAGTGGAGGCAGGGCAGCTTTACCATGACTCAACGTCTGCGATGTGGTGGCAGCTCTTTTATTTCTGCATGGGCCGGGGGGGATGTTCGGAAGTGCAGGTGAGTCGTGGTTGACTGTACAGCTGTGTGTGACGGCTGTTGGAGAAGCTGTGAGCTATTGCACAAACCCAACACCCGCGTCAGTAACCGTGACTAATCCTACATCTGCCTGGGTAATGCAAACCAGAGGTTCAGTGGAGCCAAGCTGGACTTGCAGCTCGTGCCCCACTTGGCTCCGAGGTCACCCAAGAGCTCGATTAGCTCCACACGGGGTGAGGACACGTTTCCAAAGGTATGATGGACATCTCAAATGTCCTCTGGAGCTCTGCAGAAAAGAAGTGAGGGGTGGTACATCTCAGATTTCCAGCTGCTGGAGGGATGGGTCCCGTTACGTGTTATGCAGCAGCAGTACTGTCTGGGTAAGAAATTATTATGGCATTGGATTATTAACAGGGAGCGTAAGAACAGGCAGGTGTGCCGATTCTGGTGGTGTATTTTAGCCCAAGAGATGGAACTTTCCTGGCTACTGAAGAGGCAGATTGTGAAGGAAAAGACACTATTTTGTCCCTGTGTGTACGGCAGATGTCAACCTAAGCTAAATCTGTGCATCCTTCCCGAGGAGGTAAATGATCCCTATGAACAGCAAAGCCAAGGTCTTTGTTTTGCAAGTTCAGTTCAGCAGCAGTTAAATCTCACTCAATCCCTTTTTTGACAATGCAAGCAGTATATAGCCATAGAAGTGACTCTTTGCCCGTGGGGAATGAAGCAGATTTTTCTGTACGTTTTGCAAAATTTGGTAATTTCTAACTGTCAAATCCTTATTGTTAAAATGTCAGTCATGTACTCCTATAATCATATACAGTATCATATCCAATCAAGTATTTTACTCCAAAATCAAATCTTTGGTCCAAAATGTAACTGTTTTTAGGATGGGATTTATAAAATCTACTACAAAATACTTGTCATGCCTGATGCCATAGGAAGGGGGAACTAGGGATAATACCGAAATTTCTCGTTCCTCTAAAATAAGTAGAACCAGAAAATTAACGCAACTCCTCTAGTAGAAATGGGAGATAAAGTTTTATATATCAGCAAGTGGTTCAGAGTTTCAGATTGGCATTCAGTTATTATAATATACGGAGCACCATCCCTTACTTGTGTACCTTGCCATCCTGCCTTTAAACCCTAAGTGAGGAGCATAATGTAACCTGCAGAGGAAGCAGAGCATCTTGGTGATGTATAACAACTTGATTTTTTTCCCCCAGATAATTTTTAAACCTTTCTTAAAATTGACAGAAGTATTATTGACTACCTTAACTACCTGCAGTCACCACAATTACTACCTTAACTTTGGCTGTTAATATAAGGAATAACCATTTACACTTGTTTCACCGGCTGCTCAACTCCTCAGCTCGAGCACTGTCATTTGTGAAGATTTTCAGTGTAGTCTGGAGCACGGTTTTTTTCCCTGTTCGGCAGGAAAGCTGTAGTTGGAGGCATGTCTGCGGGTGCCATCGGACAGTTTTTTGCCAGCCCAACTGATCTGGTGAAGGTGCAGATGCAGATGGAAGGAAAAAGGAAGTTGGAAGGAAAGCCGTTACGGTCGGTTCCTCTTGAAGCTGGCGGTTTTTTTCCTGTTGATGATTACTGTCTGGCTGAGGGTGTGGTTAGCTCTGTTTTCTGCTACCCCCTCTCCCCAGCTGCTTGGAGCCCCTTCGGGGGAAGAGCAGTGCCCGGGGAGGCACACCATGGCTCTGGGCAGTGGAGAGGGTGGGGGCAATATAAATTATTTCATTTATACCCACCTTCCTTATGCTGATGTATGGGTCCCAGAGCCCAGAAACACTCGCCCATCCTACATGTGCAGCATGTCCATGCCAGTGCTCTGCAGTAGGGAGGGAAGGATGCTTTCTGAAGAAGGGAATCTGGAAGAAAGGATGGGGGAAATGGCTTGTGCAGGATGCACAGGTGCAGGGAAGGGCTGGGTCGCCTGCAGACAGCAGGGCTCGAGACCCTCCTGCAAATACCAGGACACACTGCTCTTTGCATCCGAAACCACTGGCATCCTTTGGTGTCTCGTACATTTAGTATTTCAACCCAGCTGTGGGACCAAAGGGTCGTCTGTCATTAGTGACCAGACTGCTGCTTACCAGGGCAACCGGTATGTTTGGTAAAATATTGCAGCATGAAAGTCAAAGATGGATCCAAAAATGGATCAAAAAATGGATCCGGAGGGCCAGATCCTCGCAGGCATAAACTGCCTTTCCTATGTGAGGACCTGGCACAGCAAAGTGCTGGAATATGCAAAGATTTCTCCATAGCTGGGCTCTCTACTTACTAGTTGCATATTGATTTCAGATTTCGAGGAGTGCACCACGCATTTATGAAGATCCTGTCTGAAGGAGGAATACGGGGGCTTTGGGCTGGATGGGTGCCAAACGTCCAGAGAGCTGCTCTGGTGAACATGGGAGGTAAATTTCCTAACTTGGTCTGCAGCGCTTACGGCCGCATCCTAACTTTAAGGAGAGTTCAGTTCCTCCCCGGGTCTTCGTCTCTTGGTTATCTACACTGGGGACCCGTTTGAAGTGCACTGCAGGTGACTTCTGCCTTGAGCATTTTGTTCCTGTGGAAATCAAATTCCTTAAAAATAACAGTTGATGCCTCAGCCTGAGGGATGGTGAGCCGGGAGCTGGGGGGAGTCTCACAGCCAGCAGACCAAGGACCTTGCTAGCCATGACCCAGCTCCCGGCTGCCCAAGCAAGGTGAGCAGGGCAGAGCCAGAGAAGGCAGCCGGGTTCCACCAAGATCCAGATCCTCAGGAAAGCGTGTGGTGGTGAGGCAGGTCCGAGGCCAAGCCAGGAAGCTGAGGCAGCATCAGGGCTGGAGAGGG